TAAACCAGGGAAAATGAATATTGTGGCTGATGCATTATCAAGACAATTAAATCTTGCTTCTATCATCACTCTTTCTACTACCTTGGTTAATGATCCGACATTTTTGCAAGGTTATTAACAAGATAAATATTTTGCATTTATTCTGCATATATTACAACATTCTGAGCAGGCTACTGAAAAGAAACAGAATCGTGCTAAACACTTTGAGTGAAAAAATCAAAGAATTTATTTAAAGGAAGGATCTAGAGTTACAATTCCTAATGATAAGCATCTCAAAACTCATATTTTACAAGAACATCATGATATAGAGACTGCAGGACATTTGGAATTGATAAAACTACTGAGGCAATTATGCAAAATTTTTATTGGCCAAAAATAAACAAAAACATTCAAAAATACATACAAACTTGTGATGTTTGTCAAAGAAACAAGACCAGTAATCAACAGTCTACTGGACTTTTGCAATTCTGCCTACACCTAACAAAAGATAGAAAGAGATTACTATGGATTTCATTATACAATTACCTTTAACAAAACAAGATCATAATGCTATTGTTGTGTTTGTAAATCGACTCTCTAAAAGAGCATATTTTTAACCAATGCATACTTCTGCTACTGTATCTGAAGTTACTAAGATCTTTTTCAATGTGATCTTTAAAAATCAAGAGTTACCTAAGGTTATTGTTTTTGATAGAGATTCAAAGTTCACTAGTAGATTCTGGCAAGCTGTTTTTAAATAATTGGAAACAAAAACTGCTATATCTATTGCATTTCATCTTCAAACAGATGGACAGATAGAAAGGATAAACAAAACATTAGAAGAAATATTGCGTACTTATGCTACTTATAAACAAGATTAGTGGAATGAATATTTATCTGCAGTTGAATTTGCATATAATAATTCAAAACAAGTATCAACTGGATTTATACTATTTGAATTGAATTGTAGTCAATATTTCAATCTTCCAATTACAATGGCTACTAATTAAATAAGTGTCATTCCTGCTGCTAATGATTTCCTAGAGCATTGGAATACAATGATCAAAATTGCAAAGGATAGTTTGAGAGAAGCTCAGGAAAGACAAACCAAATATGTCAATAAACATCGACGTCACTTAACATTTCAAATAGGAGATCAGATTCTTCTATCTATGAAAAATACTAATACTTCAATAGATAAAAACAGACCAACTAAAAAACTAACAACAAGATTTTTTGACCATATATAGTTTCTGAAGTAATTTCTTCAACTGCTTATAAGTTGGATCTGTCCACAGAGATGAAAATCCATCATGTATTTCATGTTTCTCTTTTGAAACCTTACAAGACTCCTTTTCAAGAATTCAACAGACCTATACTACCACCTGCAATAATTCTGCCAAATACCAAACAAAAAGAATATGAAGTTGAAATCATTCTGAATAAAAGAATTTTTAGGAAAAAGATTCAATATCTAATAAAATAGATTGGGTATTCACTTCATAATACTATCTGAAAATCTAAAGAACATCTGACTAATACTGTGACAAAAGTAAAGGAATTTGAGAAAATAAAGATATTTCATTCTTAAGAGGAGGAGAAATGCAACAAATTCTGCCTATGTTATTAGTAAATACTTGTTAAATATCTTTTATAGTCTCTTTATTACTTAATAGTATAATAGAATATTTATTTTTTATATATGATTATAGGGCAAAATTAGATTTTACCCATGAACAATATTTATAGCCAATGAACATTATATAAATAGAGTAATAGCAAAAGTATTAAAGAAAAATTAATTTAGTATATTTTATAAATTAGGAGAAGAATACTACTCCTACTGTACTCAAATACTTATACAATCAATATATTTGAATAAAGACTTGTGTAGTCTTTTGTGTATTCAAAAACATTTTTACAAACATATTTTTAAAACAATTGTGAGTGTTATAGTCTTTATAAAGATTTCTTAAAAGGAAGGTTATACGAATTTTATCTTTACTTTAAGTCATCTTTAGTATAATATTTTAAAAAAAACAATTAGATATTTGTTTTTCCAAATTTAATAGTAAAAAGACAGACAAATAAGATCTTTTTACAGTATTAATCTGTTGCATCAAAATGAAATTCACCTGCATTCAAATAATGAATGTAGAAAAGATTAAAATTTTTGCTTTTTGGAAAATTTTGAATCCTGTACAAATCACAAAAAAAGTTGAGCAAAATCTTATTACTGTATGTCATTTTATTAAAAAATACAAAAAAATAAAATATATCAAAAATTTATTATAGTTAGATAAACCTTTAGTTTTTAGTAATATAGAAAAGCATACACTTGTTCACAAAGCCATAAATAAATAATGATTACTGTTATGCAATATTATCAACAAACTGAAACTTAAATATAGTTTGACAATTGCCAAAAACATATTTCATAGTTATGGGTTTTATTCTTATATTGCTACTCAAAAATTTTATATCTCAGAAAAACATGTAAACACTTGTATTGAATCACAAAAATATGACAGTTCATAATTGGATCAATGTTATTTTTTCTGATGAAAATAGTATAGAAATTAGTAAGCAATCTTGACAAATAAAAATTTGGCAATATATAAAAAAAAGATTTAAAAAAGATTGTTTGACTTCTATCTTCAAAAGTGAATAATATTCAGTAATAATTTGGGGATGTTTCATGAAAGAATTAAAAGATCCTTTGATTTTTTGTAATGAAAATAAGAAAAAAGGTGAAAAAATTAATTCAGATATTTATATTAGTATTCTGGATAAGAATTTATCTTCTTTTGTATCATGTGTTAAAGAAATAATAAGAAAAATATCAACATTTCAACAGGACAATACTTCTATATACACAGCAAAGATCACCTATGAATGGTTCAAAACAAAAAAAATCAAAACTTTAACTTGACTGGTCAATTTACCTGACTTAAACTCAATAGAAAACATATGGAAATCACTTAAGAATTAAATTTAGAGACATGAAATTTTCCAAAAACTATTAATAAATTAAAAACTGTATTAAAAGAAGAATGGGAAAATTTCAATAATTCTATTCTTGAAGAAGTTGTCGCCTACATACCTAAAAGAATAAATATAATGTTAAAGACAAATAAACAGGCTACAAAACATTAATTGTTGTATATAGTAAATCATATATAAATAAAAATTTTTTAATTTTTAAAAAATCAGGCATTACTTTATATAGGTACTGTACATATTTGTTTATATGTATATATTTCTATTTGTGTAACTGTTTTCTGATTATTTTATATAACTTCTATTATATATAAACTATTAAAAATAAAAATTTAATTGTATTATCTAGCTTCTTACAATGCAGTGCATGAAACCAGATTTTTAACACTATATACCAATATATAATAATAATATTCTTCACTTAGTATTTATTCACCTCCCTTATCAATTTTTACATCCTCCACTTTGATAGAAAAAAGGTCAACCTGCACAATGACAGATGTAATTAAGAAATATAAAATGGAAGAGCATAAGAAGATTTGGATCTTGATAATAAGAATATATCAATTTTACTCAAACAAAAAATTTGGGGTTTCTCTTTTCTGGATATGACCAAAGAAAAGTTCCTTAGTATTGGGTTTGCATTGGAACCAGCAAAATTGTTTGCAAAATTTGTTGAAAAAATATCAAAACAAAAGATAAATAATTTCTTGTCATATACAACTCTGGAAGAACCGAAGAATGTTCTTCATAAATACAAAATAAAGGGTAAGGATATAACGATCATTAAACAATTCACTCCAGATATATGGTATTTTTTCTTATATTTTTCCGGTCTTGCAAATTTCGTGGAAATTTTCAGACATTATAAATTATTTTTTTTGTTATATAGATTCCGAAAAAATCAATAATAATGATGAAACGTTCAAATACTGTGTAGCAGATATAATATTAATTCTAACAAATATCAAGATAATGACCAATGCCAACGAGGCAACCCACTGTGAATTGTATCCACGGGTATGAATTGGCATTTTTTTATTTTTACTATAGATGGGTTTTGTTGCACCAGTGAAAGTGAATATCAGATAAATCTTTCGAAAACAGCATTGAAAGAAGATATAAAATCAATCAGAAAAGAAATAAAGCGGATATTGGGTATTATTGTTGGTTTATTAAAAGATCGAGTAACAGTCGATAATTCTCCTGACTTTCCCTAAAAGATAAGTTGCCTATGCTAAATCGAATAAGCAGTTACGTGGTTTTAGTGTTGTATTACTTTCATTCGTAGACAAAAACTGGTTAATTCATATCTAAGAATAAGGATCGAAGATGAGGCTATTACAAAAAGAAACTAATCAGGTTAGAAGATCGGTTTATTGATTGAAATTTTTGAAGTTGGTACTACGAGTAACAAACGTCATTAGATTCTGGGCTTTTCCCATTATATTTTATTATCTTTCGCCATAGATTAAAGTTTTGATTATTAATGTTGATATAACAAGAGCAAAGAATTGCTGGAGGTACTGTGCGTCGCGGTGTATAGTACCCCCCGTAGAATGCTTGCCGGTCTTCCAATCAATATATATTTTTTACGTGCATAATAATTGGCAGAAAGATATGCACCATTAAAATATCCATGACAAGGGGGGGTACTATAAACCGCGACGTACGGTAGTCACACAGTGGCTATAGATCCAATTAAAACATTTCACCTACATAAAGTGTAAAAAGTTCTGGCAATTTCTGGTCCTTTACCGTCCAAGTCTATAAATAAATTCTGATCTGTGATTTTTTATATAAAAAGGTGGAGATAAAATATCTGTGACCCCTCGTTATAATAATTACCGATTTGGGGGTGTTCTCCATGGATTATTCATGCGTCACCCTTGCGTCACCAATACAGCACCTGTGCAGGCGATTTTCATAATAATTTATATTATTTAAGTAAAAATTTCGGATTTTAAAGACCGGCGATTTCACGAATTTCGTTGTGACGACATTTATGTTATACACGTGAAATGTCAAGACGTATATTTTTATATTAATGTAAGGGAGGGATTAATCATAATTCCGCAAAGGTGGGATGTATTTTATTATCGAGATCATCTCCTTAAGAGTACATACGTATTCAGATTAGATGATTACCTGATCTGTGTAACCAATGAGAATATAAAAATACTCACTTGATAACAAAATTGACTTCAGCCACCTTAAAAGCGTTAAATAGTAAGTATTACTGTATATTGACTTAAAAATCGATGTTTTTTAATAGCATTGTTCTAATAATTTATATTGTATATTCAAGTGAAGTTTAGTGAATTTACAAATGTTGGATTCAGAATCGGAAAAATATTGACGGCTATCCCATTATCCAAAGCACGTAAACCTGCATACAAGTTGCAAGTCGATTTTGGAGAGTTAGGAAAAAAGGTGTCCTCAGCTCAATTGCCTGCTAATTATACAGTGGATGAAGTAGTAGGAAAGACAGTTATTGGAGTTGTTAACCTTCCACCACGACGTGTTGCAGGAGTTAAATCAGAAGCTTTAATTGTTGGGTTTCCTGATTCGAAGGACAACGTTCTTCTTCTTAATACCCGCTTCCAGAATCCTCCCATTGGCAGTCAATTGGCTGAGTACGGTCAGCAGGCAGATGAAATTACTTATGAAGATTTCCAAAAAGCTGATATTCGATCTGCAACCGTCCTATCTGTTGAGACATTAGAAGAAAATAAAAATTCTTTCTATATAAAACTGGATGTTGGAGAATACGGAGAAAAGTTTGCTTTCCTGAGTGATATTGATGTAGAAACCGCTGATTCCTTAGTTGGTAGCCAAGTAGCTACACTTTTAAATCTAGATCCTGAGGATATTTCAGACAAACGGTGTAATACTATTTTACTCACTTTTTATGTCACTCAAAATGATAATGTTGTTCGTCTACCATTAGGAGTAGATAGAGATGGGCAAGTATCTAATGGAGAAAAGCTTTTCTAATTTCAAATAATGAATTTAAATTTCAGATCTTGTCGTGGATGAATTTTTATTAATAAAAATACATAAATTTTGCCATTTTATCACACGTGTGTTCTTTAGGTCAGTGAAAATCAATGAATTCTATTGTTCAGGATCCGGTTTCGAAATTATGAACGAAAAAAATTATCCCACATCAATTAAATGTTTTTTATTAGACGAACTTGATTATATCATTAAAATCTTGCAAGGAAAATATCACGTTTTTATGGAAGTAGGATCAGCAAAATCGGTTAAAGCATTTTACATTATACAAGCAAATTGTAAATACTATGGAATAGATATCAATCCACGTATGATCCAAGAAGCACGCCAAAATTTCTTGGAAAAAAATATATTTGATAAAGCCAAAGTTGAATCAATGTCATTTTTTGATCTTGACCTTTCTTTCAAGGCTTTCAATCCAAATGAAAAGGTCTTGATTTTCTTACCTTTCAATTTGTTTGGAAATTTAGGTGATCCTAAAAAATCATTAGAGAAGCTTATTAAACTTAGTCAAGATTTTATCGTAAGTTATTATAAAATAAATCAGACTTCTTACTTAGCGAGAAAAGAATATTATACGAATTGCGGTCTTTATAGCTTAAACTATATGGAAGAAGATCACCAAGCTAAATTTACTTCAAGCAGAGGATTTTGTTCGATTACATATAGTCCGGAGTACATTGAATCTATTATTAATAAGCTGGTGAAAGAACTGAAAGTCCCTTATAAACTCGAAATAGAACATGATTCTTTTAACTGTATTGGCATGGTAACCTATGTTAAATTTCTTTAAATTTCGAGAAAGTAACGGGAAATAGTTTTTTTGCCTATCCTGTATTTTAATAAATCAATTTCAGTTTCACGTAATTTTTTATACAGTTCATTTACTATTAATAATACAGTGGTACCCAAAATTATTTGGAATTTTTTGATGATCATTTGTGCAACAGCCAATAATTTAATAACTACATAATATGATTTATTTAATTTGTAAGAATCACAAAATTAAATGACAGGTATTGTTAATAGTTTATTCTTTCGCCATTTGCATCAATTATCGCCCTACATCTCTCTTGCATCGAATTGATCAAATTTTTATAGGTATTCTTTGGAACCTTCCCCCATTCTTTGATCATAAACATTTGTAACTCATCTAATTTTTTGGTTTTTTTTTCTCCATATTTTTTTTTATAATTCACTATAAATTTTTGATGGGATTAAGGTCCGGGCTGTTCGACGGCCAGTTGATAACACAAGGAACCGGTTTATTGAGAAAATCCTTGATTAGGCGGCTTGTGTGCTTAGGATCGTTATCCTGCTGAAGCCGCCAATCGTCACCCATCATTTTTTTAATCTCCAGAAATTGGTTTTTTAGGATTTCGATGTAGAACGAGGCATCCATCTTTCCTACAGAACAATAAATGCTAGTTTTACCCTGTAGGCTAAATGCACTCCAAACTTGAATTTTTTGTCGGTTCTTAGGGATGCGACGGATGGGATGACCGTTTTTGTACCACTGAGTGATCGTGTTCCTAAACAGTTGGAATGAAGTTTCATCGGAAAAAAAGGTGTAGGACCAATCATCGTCAATATGTTCTTGGGCCCATTTAACCCATTTCTCTTTATGCTCCTCTGTGAGCATAGGTGTTGCAAGGGGGAGGGAATTCTTGTAACCATTGGCGCAAAGATGCCTTCAAACCGTTTCTCTTCCGAGTATTATGCCCTTTTCTGAAAGTTTACTTATCAACTCACCCACCGATATTGTAGAAATTCGCTTGATAAATTGACCGATTGCACGTATTACACTTGAATTGACTTTTCTTGAACGACTTGTGCCCCTTCGTTGTGCCACATTATCAGTCTCTTTTAATTTTTTTAGGTTGTAATATATTATAAAGAGGATAATGTTCATATGCTGCTGAATTTCTCTCATGGAGCGAATTCCTTTACTCCATAAAAGACAAATAGCTTCGTGCTGCTGGTTTTTTGTTGAAGAGGTCATTTCATGCCATTATTTCTCGCAGAATACATTATATACAAGAGAGAGTGGAAATGGGCAGGTTATTGTGAGATAAATAAAGTATGATTACACATGTCAAAAATTCACTTACCTTTTGTAGTTACGAAATTACGTTTGATAATCATCACTCTAAAAAATTCCAAATAATTTTGGGTACCACTGTATAGCCAGAAACCTTCTTGGGATAAGTACCACCAGACTGATTTATTACTGAATTAGAATGAGACTAAAACAGGGATTTGCATGAAAGACACCAGATATTAGAAAAGGAATCACCAAACCTACTTGTCGAAAGCGAATATCTTATACACCTCATATATCTTGCAACTTTTGACAATTGTTATAACATTAACTAGACAATCATTATGTCACAACATCTTTTCTGAAAATCATAATCTCAACACCTACTGAATCAGCATATGAAACAGCTTCTTATGAGAAACAGTGCTTTTATAGGTTATAGTGTCAGATACCATATTAATTCTATTTAACCGTCCTCACATGAGGTTGAACTGGTATCTTGTGATTTGACCTGTGAAGTATTAACCACTACATTATAGATCCACAGGTCATAAATACTTATTATTATTGATTAAAGTATAGTATTTTTTCTAAAATATTTGTTATCTAGAATCTATATTGCTTTTTTTCAGAATAATTACTATTAAAAAAGATCTTTTATTAAATTGAAATAAATTATTTTTGTATTTTAAGATTTGAAAAGATATTAGATATTATAGAAAATAATTATTAAGTTAATTTGTTTAAAATTAAACTTTTATAATACTTTTTTGGATATATTTATAATAATTATTATATATCAATCTAAATAATTTTTATAATTTTTTATTTTATAAAAAATATTTCAATCTTAATATCTATTAAATTAGTATATGAAATAATTTCTATAAGAAATAATATTTAACTAATTATACTATTAAATATTATTGGTTAATGGTAATCTATAAACTTACAATAAAAATCCTCACATATATCTTACCTTAGTCCTTAAAAAAAAAAAAAACCATTAAATATTATTTTATTTTATTTAAATTGTTTTTACTTAAAGTTAAATTAATATTTTATAATCTAATCTTAAAAGTACTAATTATTGTACTATTGATTCATAAGTTTTTTTATAATATATAAATTATAAAAAAAATTTTTTTTTTTTTTAACATTGATAAACATCAGTTCTTTATTTTCTGTATATACTAAAATATAACTATGAGAAAAA